TAATACTTCAATCCCTTCAGCACTTCGTTCATTTATTATTTCTGCTATTCTCGTTTAGCAGTATGAAGGCATTTCGTCGGATGCAATACATGGTCATATTCGATCAGCAATTAATATCCCAGCAAAAGATATTTATGATTGGAATGATCAGAAATGGTACGATAAATTGGATCTGAAAGCTCAGCTTCATTCGAAAAAACTAAACGAGAATCGATCAGTGATCGTGTACTCGTCATCAGCCATTCGTTCTAGCTTGACCTGGTTTGCATTGAGGAAGTGTGGCTACAGTTCAAGTATTTATTTTGGCTCCTGGCCAGAATGGCTTATACGGGCACCCGAATTCCTCAAAGTTATACCAAAGAAAAAGTTTTAATCGTTGTGCTGATTCTAATTTGTATTTGTATCATTCATCACATTTTTATTTAAAAGAATATGATGGAAATGTATAAGAGATACCATATGAGTGTGGATCGGATGAAATCAAATTATCGATCTGTCTCATCCTATGAATTAATCTTCTATTAATACCATTTAATGGAAGTTATAATTTGACAGAATTCTAACTTCACGTGTGACTTTCCACATTCAATATAGCTTGTTAAATTCCCATAACGTTATATTTTCTTTGCTTTAGAAGCAGAGAATAGGACACTTTATAGACTGCGTTTAAATATGCATGAAGCGGTCATTACTCAACTATTAAAGGAGGGCTGGAAGTGTTGGCATTCAGTTTTTGACTTTTCAATTATTAGTCAGAGCATGAAAAAATTCTTCACAATTTTTCACCGTTCTGCTATTTTTTTGCTTCATTATTTTAACTTGTGGACCGCAATTTCAAATTTTTTTATCTTTATTGAAACAATTTAAATTTGGAAAACTATTGGTACTGAACACGTTTCAATACTATTCAAATGGAATTTATTAAGCAAATGAAAAATGCTCAGGCGGCTACAAAAGAATATTATCAGAATCTCTCAGCAAATAATTTTCTTCGTCCAAAATATGCCTCAGGAAAAAAAATACATGAAATAGAAGGAAAATGATTTGCTGCATTTGTGACAATTTATTGCTTTATTTAAAATATAAAATATCAAATTTCTTGCTTAAAATTACGAATAATATTTTACTTTTGATCTCACAATAAAAATTTTTGGTTTGCTGCTCTTCTTTGTAAAATAATCTACCTTTTCATGTTTCTAACGGTATTATTCACAATGATACATTCTTTAGAACCAAAAAAGCCGCGAGGATCAGGATTCTAACTTGAAGCAGTTTGTTCATGAGATGTGATCAGTTTTTTTAGAATTTTTAAATTTATCATCCAGCTTCTCAGATCTTCTTTTATTTGTTTTGCATTTTTTGCTAAATTTTTTATTGCTTTCTCTACTTCATCTTTTAGAAACTTTATTTTATTTAAATTTATTTAGGTTTATTTAAATTGGATTCAAATACATAAACAAATACTTTGAAAAATTAAAGTACTAAAACACTTTGAAAAATTAAAGTACTAAAATACTTTAAAAATTAAAGTACTTGTTTGTGTATCTGAAAAATTTGGTTTTTTCATGCTAAATTTATTGCTCCTAATACCTACCTATCTGTAAATTTTTTCAGGCGAGGTTTTCAGATGATTAATGTTGCAAAAATTTTATAATGTTGTAGTAAATGAGGTGGAGCAAGAATTTCCCGGGAAAATAGTAATAAACGAATGCTAATTTTTCGAGCACAACAATTTTAACTGAATTACACATAATTTATGTAACAAAAATCTTTCAAAATTTACTGAGAAATGATCCTTTCCCAACCAATTCTGCAATCATTCAGTTTCAGCTGCTAAAAAAATCAATTGTCAAATGTCGTCCGGGTAACTATCCATCAATCACGCATCCGAATGCATGACTTTTCAAATATTGGAATTACTGGGCCCGGAAACCTAACTAATCAGCTTTTCTAAGCAAATCTAAACTAAATTTATTGAAAGAATAGGTGATAACATTTAACTTAAAAACAATAACGAGTGCGATTACCAGGGAAATATTTTAATAAACCGAATTAATGCCCGCTGATTTCGATGACCGATATTATCCGGTAAGGCTGAATCAACTTTCGTCAACTAACTTGTATAGTGTAATTATTCGGACATAATTTCACCGATAGCATCAGAAGTACAGGTGCACGCTTATGTTTGCAAAGTGATTGCAGTCTACAAGTGGGAGTAGTCAGTAGTAGACTGCATATGAATAACTTTTCCATAATTAATATCCATTCAGTAAGGAACTTCAGTGACCTAACAAACCATTTAGCAACATTTATTTGGAAGATTATCGAATTGATTTTGATTATGAACCATTTTAGCTAATTTAGCTTTTAAGTACGGTTTTTTTAAGGAAATCGTCTACTCAGTAAGTAATCCAAGTTAGCCTAGCCTGTCGAGAAAGAATAAATTCCTTTACAATGAGCAAACGGAAAAACAAAATTTAAAATATTTGGAACATGCGTAAACTTTTTAGGCCTTTAACAACAAAAGCAAAGTTGGGTTTATGTTTGTTGAAGTGAAGTGCCATATTTTGTTATTATTGTGTACTCTCATGACATTAAAGGTTATTATTTCATAAATAGCCTCTTCTTTCCTTCTGGAAGAAAAGAAAGTTGGGGTTCAGCTAGGAAAGATATCGAATTATAGTGAGTTGTGCGGGCTGCTTGGCACGAATTTCTGATAAATATGTGCATGCTTTGTTGACATCAGTAGCCTGCCACATAAATTTATCGTTAATCTAGTTTAGTGGATTCTATAATTTTTCAAACTTAACTTAAATTTAAAAATATACTTACAGCTGAAAGTTACATCATGCACGTTGATTTTATCAGTTTCTAACCAAAAAAAATAAAACTAAATTTAAGAGAACAAAATTCACCATTTCAAAAATTTTCAATCTCTTCTACCATACTTTTACAAATATCAATTTTGAGATGTTATGAATTTTTGGATAGTTTAATACAAAATTTAATCTACATTGTTATGTCATATGATAGCACCTGTTTGATATGGCATAATTTATAAAAAAAATTCAACCTACTTTTTGTCTTTTTGACAAAATTAAAAAAGACAAAACCTTCTGTTATACAATGCTGAAGATTACTTGTAATGTCATTTAGATTGGCAATTGGCTATTCTGAAAATAAAGTTTGCTTACCAATTTTCCAAATTCAAGTCAAGTTATTATCAGTTGACATCACAAATTATTTGCAAAAGTCGTTGCAACGCATTCTTTAACTATGAGTGCCATAATTACAGCTCTGCACAATTTTGCAATCATTGTAATTCTGAAATACTTTCCCAATTAACAGTGACGAAGCAATATTTATCTCTCTGGAACTACTTTATTATCATCTCGCAACTTCTCACCGTGTGATTTATTCCTTTATAACCCATATCAGTTTTTGTTCCAAATCTTAATCATTTATAGTTCTGCTGATGATTATGATTTTAACCGCACAGTAAGCTGAGAAAGAGGAATACATTTTTGATTGTCAAGCGACGATATTGTTCTATTGATGAAGCTGAAAGTGGTTTGCTTGAAGTAACAACGTACAATGACAGTTGCCTTCTCCTTGTCTGATGGTTCTTAAAGGGATAAGAGTATCCTAGAGTCATGCTTTTGAAATATTGAAATTGCTTGTTAAAGCTTCTTAGAAGCTATATGATATTTTTCTCTACTTAATGCACTGCTGTCTTCGTCAATTTCAAACTGAAAACGATAATTCGCTACCACATTCTCTTCCTTCTCATGCCCATTTCATTTAAATCTTAATAATCCCTGCGGAATTTTCACTCCATCCTGCAGCATTCAGCTTTCACGTCAACTTATCCTATCAGTCTGTAATTCAGAGACTATTTTGTGTTCATTCATTCACTGTATAAATGATAGTGATAGTAAAATTAGCAACACATTAGTTTTAGTGCCTTCATTTCAGAAAAAATTTCTAAAGTGCCCAAAAAAGAAGTGATAACGCTATCAGATCATCACCTAAGCATGTATACGAAAACGAACTGAAATGTGGTGCGCAGATTAGCACTTTAAATTATATTATTTTCAACACAAGGCTCATAGGCTTTCTTTTTGAATTTTCCTGTGCTGAAACGAAGAATGTTATTTTCCTTAATTATGGTCTGTGGAGACAAAGTATTGAGTGTTATTGCTAAAGAGAATACAGTAATGTCAGGTCGAAAATCATTCCGTCAGAAGTCAATTAATCTTTTCAGTTAACGACTTTAACGCCTAAAATGACAATACTACACAATACTACATTCCTGAGTTTTTCAGTTTCATTTGAAGGCATTTTATCAATTTTGTCAGGAGTTGTTCTATATATATATATATATATTTCTGGGTTATATATGGCTTATAGCAATTTAACTGTCCAGTAATGCAAACTTTGACATTATTCGGGTGATAGGAGTTAGCAATTTCCCGTAAATTATGCTTTTAGTGGATGAATTTTCAGTATTTTTAGTTAAATTATGCACTCAAAAATTCACATAAATGCGCCACAACTGCAAATTCACTCGTAATTTATAATTCCACTTTCATTTACTTCGTTTGAAAATTTTATTAATATTTCTGTGCAAATATCGATATATATGCAGTATGAACAGAACTGATTACTTTCTACTAAATTTCTTTTCAGTATTATTGTTTGAACGTTGAACTCGTCCTTTACCTTGTGTTGGAAGGATAGACCGGGCTGTAATCCTTTACCTTGTGAAGAAGAATGAATGGGACTGCTTATCTTCGAAATTGAAAAAACACTTATTTTTAAGGATGTTTTACTTCCTTTTCAAAAACCATTCATCGGAAAAATCTATTAGCTAACGTCCAACAATGCCTTAAACATTGACTCTAGGCTTAGTATATTCTAAATTCAATACATATGAAGTTCATGCAAATCTCGGCATTAAATAAATGGAAGAAAGGCTTGCAGAATGATGATTAAGCCTGTACTGCTTTTTCCTTTTCTCTGTTCATTTCATCGCCATTATCGTGGGCATATGGACACTCTGAAACCTACAGTCTCAGTTCTTCCTTTTGTCTCTTCTTGGTTTAACATTTTCAAGTTTTACCATCTGCTTTGTCCCTAAAACTCCCTTTTACATTTTCTACCAAAGGTCTACCTTATCCTGTAATAAGGCCTGAAATTTGCAGTTCTCTTTATGATACTCGAATGATTTACAATCGTGCAAATCTATTGCATGCACTAAAACCCATTGTATTTAAAATCTAAAATATTATTAACTAAAATTAATGATGAATAATTGTATGTTTTCGAAGAAATATAATAAAACCTTTTACAAATATACGAACTGTGTTTCATATCTTTCAGAAGAAGTCATGAGAAGACTTCTTGCTCGACTGAAATTTCATTCGAAATTCTCTGTCCTACTTTATATTATAAAGTTTCGTGATACTCTGGTTAATTTACTCTCCGAAATTACTAAGCATGATATATCATTCTAAGTATGCATCATTTTCATCCATCGCTTCCAAGCAAAATGAATCCCAATAATTTATTTGGTACAAATTTTGGCTATTCTCGTGAAACTGATTCTCAAATTCCGGTATTTGTTTATGTCACATTTATTGACAATTTCCAAGAATTTTACCTACCGTTGATGTTGATAATGATAAATTCACTGATGCTATTTGATTTTCGGCATTATAATCATTTCTCAATGTGATATCACTGATTACATTTTGTCTATTTGAAAGAAAACGATTTTGTTTTCGTTCTAGCAACCAAGTTAAAATAACTAGATTTCCATGCTCATACAATGTCATCCATGATAAAAATAAACTTTCACGTTAGAGAATTCAGCTGATTGAACATTTTATTCTCTAACAGCTGATCGTCAATACTTACATTATATCGAATATATCTCTATTTTGCTTCATATCCAATTTACTGCAAAAATTTTTGATATAAATTTCAGATTTAGTATTTGACGATGACGAGTTAACTTCGGCCACAGTGATAGTGATATTCAGCATGGCATTATATTTACCACTAACACGGATTATCATGATAACGAATGAAATAGCCGCAAACATGTCCTTACCGAAAGAATATTTGCAACTTGCAACCAACAACATCAACAACAGTAATAGTTAATTTCTAAACACATTTACATACACAAGTATTGATATTATAAATGTTAACTGATATTATTATAAAATGTCATGTTAAACTATGCGATTTTTTGATTATCATGGCAAGTAACTACAGCCAAGCCAATTATATACAGGATAATATTCCTACGATGAATTGACTCATTGATCAACTTGCCAAGTTTCTTTGACAGATATAGAGAGAAACTTCGGAAAATAATTTGAAAAAGGTACTCAAACGTTGTATGTTTCTGTTTTTAAATAGCTGTAGTACAATTTTCATGCATCATTTCATCCCATTATATCTAATGATGGCAGAAATTCTCAGGCGTATTATTACCGCCAGCAGAAATGTTTCTTTTCATGTGAATTGCATAAATATGTATATAATCAAAACTTTAAGTTCGCTTGTTATTCTGGAATTATCCATTGAATTTGAAAGCGAATATCTTTTCACTATTCCATATTTGCAATGCCGTTATTGTTTGGTTCATGACAAACTTGTCATAGAGTCTAGTAAATGTACCTAGGGTCTTTTTTTTTTCTTGAAGAAATCCAAAAATATTGCGAGTTTTTGCTATTAGCTTATTCTTGCTGATTGTAGCATTTAGTGAGAATTGCTAACATGTGAAATCATAAATTGTCTTTGAAACAAACAACAATAAAATTAAAATCATCATATAGCTCCTAGATTTCATTAAACGACCAATTTGCCATAAATTTTATTTCACAGTTATTTACTTATCAAGATAAATTTGTTAGAGTGTATGGCCTCTCATATAGTCTACCTTACTAATCATGGATAATCCATAATTTTGATGCGAGATACTTCGCATGTACATATCAGAAATGAGCTAAATTGCAGTTTGTTTCCTAATATTTGCAAAATACCAATGCCAATATTCATCTTATTTTTCTTCATAATAAAACTCATCCTGCTTTCATCTGATTTCTTTCATTTTCAGTATTATGATGGAATATCAATGATAAGCATTACTATCTTACCAAATAAATATGTATACAGTTAATGGGATTTTAAAACAGTTTTTCAATTATTACTTTTTCGTTCTTGGTTGCACGAATATAAAGCATAAAAGCAAAATACTGTTTGAATTTGATTTACTATTAATATTACCACTACCCTTGGTTAAGCCTCAAAATAAGTCACCTTAATATTACCAGCTTTAAGTATTTATAAACTTTAATAGTATTTATAAACTTTAAAAAAAATTTTAAAGAGTATTTATAAAAGATAGCTTTAAGTATTTATAAACGTTAAGAAGTTTTAAGAAAAAGATTCGCCAGCCAGAAGAAACCCTACTTGAAACCTCAAACGTTTTTTGGTTACTTTCAGCTATCTTCTGTGGTTTTTCTTTCGATTGGAAAAAAAACAGGTTTCAGAATTTCTCTTAACCAATATAGATTATATGATGGACTATTTCGAAATCAACTCAAAAAATGAACCTTTTTTTTCCCGTGGAAACAAAACCAAAAAGGTTCTCCTACTCAAAATCGATCGAATTTTTTGCTCCAAAATTTTTTTCAACTAAATAGTCAAACAAAAATACAAAATTAATTGAAAAATCTTTAAAAAAATAACAAATGCGGTCAACTTTTAAGTTATATGCCGCTCTTTTGATAATGACAACAAGCAAAATGTTGATATTATTGCGTTGAATTATCAACATTGGCAAAGTACTGCCCTTATAATTCATTTTTTGGCGCTTCATTGATTTTTTAAAAAATTAGTCATGTCGAAAAAGACATCCATTCTTGCGGAATAATGAGCATTTGATTGGATTGATATTTGAAGGATAAATTATACTTCGTTGCAGTTTAATCGAAACTATTTCATATATATTTTTGAGTAGTTTAATAAATTCTGACTGAGTTAAATTGAACTGATGATTATTCAATTCTTACTCTCTCAACGCATATAGCAAGAAAAATTGATGATTAATTAGTTTATTTTTGAAAATCAAAGTAGAATAGAGCTGAGATAGTAGGAACTTCATTCTTAACTCCATTTTCAGTTGTCAGTTTTCCTTTAAATGCAGCATCATTGGTCCAATTCCCTTCAGATTTTGGGCCTTTTCAAACCGCGGTAGCATTTTTACTTTACTATATGTTATCTCGAAGATTCTGTCTTTTTAAGTTAATTTACTTTTCTGATATTTCCGACTTTTGCTTCTTCAACTAATGAAACAACAAAAAGTATATTTCAGGTTTTTTGCAATTTCCTGGGATGAATCATGAAATGATATTTGGTAGCCCTCAGGAATTCTGCCAGTATTCATTGCTGCATGTTTTTCTTGAATGTTTTTAGTACAGAAATGAAGTTTTTTCCATATCGATCTGAGAGCCCTTATATCACTTTAAGCTAAGTGCTTAAATAAACAATGCGTTGACTCCGAAATGACTCTGTCTATACAGTGTTGTTATTAAATCTTTCAATATTATCTAATGATTGCGATCCATACTGCGGAAATTTTGACTTCTGAAAAAAATGGATGAAATAGGGAAGTTTTAAGAGAGTTTTACTCATTGAATGTGATTAAATATGGTATTTATTGCTTGAGAGTAGCATAAAATATGAATAGATTAAAAGTAGGAGGAAAGATGGCACTTTGATGTTTGAAACAGACTCAGTAAGAAAGGAAAGTAAGCACCGACCACTAATAACTGCAATTTTACGCAAAAATCACGAGAAATATCAAATATTTACTCGAGATTTATGGGAGTTTGTAAATTATGGAAGGAAAAGAGTAAGTGAATGAGATGGGAGTATTAAAAAAAAGAAAGAAACAGCTTTAGTTAGAGAGTTTAATTTGCAGCATAATCACAAATTTTCTTTACTGAATTAGAACTTATTCCATGCTAAAAGCAAATGATATGACTTGCGGAACGCAAAACGATTCCTAAAGAGTTATTGAAGAAATTTCTAATTTTATTTCTTACATGCATCACTGAATTTCCACAAAGTGAACCAGACTTTATTAACATTTTCCATTTATTGTTAAAAAACATTTCATCCTGGCAAAACGAAGTGGGGAATTCACTCCTCGGTAACTATTCTATTTTCGTCCTTTAGAACTTCTAATAAAGATGAACACTAGGTGAAAGAATGACATTTTGATTTATGGAAATATCAGTGACTTGTTCAAGTTTTAGTATAACCAATGATTGTTAACTGAAAAAGGAGATTCTTCCTAGTATTTTCGAGAAGTTAGAAATCTGATGAAATTTTTTGTAAACTTGACGGATAAAAAGTGTGTTCAAAACTTAAATTATAAAATTAGATTTGCAAAGTTCCCAAAGTCAGGTAGATGTCATTTCTTGCTAACTTTTCAATGCTGCATTAACTAGCAGTAAATGAAGCAATCTCTTATCTCACCAGAAGATCGTCCTTAAGCAGGTGTTACTGTGCCCTGTAAATGATGAAATAACTTCTGAGTTTGAAGCTGAAGCTTTTTAGAGTACAGAATGAATGATTGTCATTAACACCACAAATATGTCAAACCTTTGAATCCAGTAAATGGTGGTATAAAAATTTTGTTGTCATAATCCAAAGCATGAATTATAGGAATGTTCACTCATGTTCTTATTCATCATAGAGAAATGCGACATTGTTCAATGACCACGCAGAAGTATTGCTCACGTTTGTCATTCCTTGGTTTAAATTTACACAACAGCTAACTTTGTGCTCACAACTTTTTTCACTTTTGTAATTGTGTCATGTGTCTTATTATCTTTCCCACAATGACTCTTGCTTCTCAATATTCCCCATTTTAAACTTGTCTAAAAAAGCTTCAATACAATTACTATAAATCCTAGCTCAGTGAACTGCTCTGATACAATTTATACTGTGCATTTGCACTATAATTTTGTAATAGGCACTAATTCAAACAGTAGCAGTGTACGTTTGGCAGCAACAAACTATACAACGTTTGATTTGCCATTAAGTTTAAAAATGTTTCAACTACCAGGCTACTGTAAATTGGAAAATTTAATTCCATAAAAATTTCTAATTGCTTAACTAAGTCTTCCCCATCATCTTAGACATTTGGATCTCAGCATGACAATGAATTGACTTCCACAAATAAAATATTGATAATAAAGTGTTCACACAGTATCTGCAAGTGGAATAATCAGTTAATCAGTTGATTTATCTGTCTTTCAATTGACTTCATTTCAACATCAGTAAAACAGTAGAAATTGTGCAGTACGTTGCAGGCTATCTCTTATCTTGAAAGTAATTTAAACAACAACCACCAATAATTATTCGACATATTGTACTTCTGCACTTATATAAAACTATTGCTGCAGCCAAATGCTATTATTAGTTACAAATTTAATAGATGAGAAGTGAGATTACTTCCATACTAAATTTTTAAATGTCAACTAAATAAAAAAAATATTTTTTTATTTAGTTGACATTTAAAAATATAATAAAAAATAAAAAAAATGTCAACTAAAAATTAATTTGATGCAAAGTTTCACCACTTTTTGAAGCTTTTCATATTCTACTCCGTCTAAAGTCAACGGCCTTGACATAAAGATGTAGTTACTCTGGTAACAATATTCATTATTCCTAGCTCAAATTCCGGCTTTCACTTAGCCCATTATTACTAGTTCAAATTTTTACGCACTTTGCAATTTAATTCTCATTAGAGTTGTTATTAAAGTGACTCATATTTGTAAAATTTATTTTAAAAAAACACTAAATAATTATTATGAAAATGAATTTTTATCGTCAGATATTCTCTGACAAAATAAAAGCCTCAACTCTCAAGTTTTAATTAAGCCCAGATGAACTGATTGCGTCAAATGTGAATGTTATTGAGTAGAAGCCGTAAAAATGACAGTATAATATTTTTGTTGTTATTGCACTTCTTCATATGTCTTGGTACGATAAGTGTTACTAATTACTTCTGATGGCTTGGCTTCACTAATCGTTTTTATATCTCCATAAGAAGTTTACGGAAATAAACAAACCACTTTGGTAATTTCGAACTTTCTTATTTCCGTTTGCAATTTTTAGATTCTCCCAATTACCATTCATTCATTCTAAGAATGCAAAAAATTCAATCATTCATGATTTGTTTGGATGCATTATTTCGGGAATGGATGGCAATAGAACTCGAAATTACATTCATATAAATGTCTGAAATTTCTGCTACATAATAATTTTTCCATTATCGTCACATTTTTTAAAATGAACTGAGTAAACTTTTGTCGACGAATTCATTTCAACTCTAAAAAATTTCTTCAATTTTTTAAAATTTTGTTGCATTTCTTCGTCACTTTAAGTTTTCTGATAACAGATTGATAGAACAAAGTGTCACCAACTTTCAGTTTTATGGCCTTTTTTTTCTCTTACCAAAAAATATTTGTAGTAAACAACGTCCCAAGTCGCTTAATCCAGCGTATGTAGTAATAAATGGAAAATAAAAAATTCATTAAATATAAAATTTCAAATTAATTTTATATGAAAATTAAATCTATGCACAAAAAGTTTGATGGCTGTGAATAATTTTCAGTTTTATTTTCTGAATGTTATTTGAAATTAAACGAAATTTATAAATTAGCATGTAAACAATATGAATTCACTTCAATATGTCTGTGTATTTGTATATATACGTGTGTGCGTGTATATGTGCGTATGTGTGTGTATCCATGTTAACTACTCGATTTCCCATGGAAAAACAATGTTTTTGTTGAATCAAATTTTTGGCAATGTTTAAATCGTTCATTTTCCTGGTTGTATTTAAAAATGTTTGAACTCTTTCTACCTCTCCGACTTTGGATTTTCCTAAGTGACATGTTGCAATCGCAACATTATTGTCAGTGCCTTTCACAGTCAAGACATACATAAGCATGACAGGTAATTCGGAATGCGCAAGATTCTAAGCTTATTATACTGAATCAGAAAATTGCATTCATGTTATCTGAAATAAAGTGGAGACTTTTTTAAATAAATGTGTTTTGGATCACAATTTACTGGTTGAATACAGAGAAATAGATTTTAGCTCTCCATTGTCACGTTTGAACTCAATCATTGTCTGTTTCTTGCAGCTTCCTTGAATAGATATTATTCATTATCCTTCTATAGCACTATTTCATTTGTTCGATATCTTTGCTTTTATTTAGCCAAAGTCTTAATCAGCTTTTAATAATTGTTCCCATTAGGCATCTTTTCTACTGCAACAAGCAAGTTTTATTAAAATAATGCTATTAATATATGTCGTAGATTTGTGCTTGTCCCCAAGAGCATCTAAGACTTTATAAGTGAAAGGTAGCCATACCCTTACCCGTATAAAGTTATTGTGACGGACAATAAATCCCTGCATAATTTTACCTTTTTGTATCATTATCTTGCAATTCAACCAAAAATTTCAAAATAGTATATATATATATATATATATATATATATATATATATATATATATATATATATATATATATATATTATA